TAATAATATTAAATTTCTTGTATCAAATAAACTTTTATTTTAGAAAACAGTTAATTTTATAGATTATCTTTAAAAATTCAATTAAATCAAAATGTAATAATCCAAGTTCCCTTATCCCACTCCTTATATGGAAATATATATAATTATTTTTGTATGCAGCTCTAGAATTTTAGGGTTAACTAAATTGCCGACAATATTATTTTGCGATTCTAATAAGTATTTCTCAAAACGGCATAGCCATTTACAACGCAACCTATCAACGTTTCAAAATTGCATAAAATATTGTTTTTATATCCTGTACTCGAGGAGTAAATAGGATAAATTAGATTTGCGGTCGGAGCATCAACAGATGAGTCGATATAGCTTTGTTTGTTTGTCTGTCTTGTTTGCCGGCTAGTTCTCAGACACTAAGAGCTAGAGTCTCACTGTACCCGTACCACCTGTACGCCCTCAAAAAGGTACGCAAAAATCTGTGATATCCATACAAACATATGTGCCGAGTGCCGGGTATACAATTTGTGACGAGTTCGAACGAGCTAAATTAAAATGGAAAGAGAGCCAATTTTCAGCCGGAAACATCAGCAGCTGTTTTTAGTCGATTTGAAGCTTCTTCTTCCACAGTGTCACTTATGTCCTGAGCGATATTTGGGTACCTAAAAAGTTCTAGCGGGGTGCCATGAAACCGCACTACTTGCCTCTACTTGCTGACACCAAAATGGTTGATTCTTGTGGTGGTTCATTGTCACAATAGATCACCTCCGAGTCTCTGGAGAATTGGTCAGCGTTCCTATAGAGGAGAAAAGGAGAACTAATAGGCAGCTGGATTTAACTGAAAAACAAATAGGAAAAGGGAAACTAGCAAGTTATTTTTTCATTTAAATAATTGATTTCTAATGCAGTTGTTTATAATTTATATATTTATAATTGATTCCTATACTTTCTATGACACATACCTAAAAAGGGTTTAACAGTGGTGCACTCTTGTAGGTATATACTTATGTATATATGAATGTGTTTCGCAACTTTAGTCAGAATTACTGTCACTGTACTGTTTTACTGTCATTTTTCCTGCCTGCAATGCTGGCACTGTTACACGCACCGGCGACGGCTAGCAATTGTAGATCTCTGATTTTCACAAAACATTTTTCCACGTGAGCATAATGAATTGCAATTAGTTGGGCGCCAGTACTTTTAGGAATCGACAACGCAAGAAATATTTCTTTATGTCAATTATATTATGAATATAATTCTGGACGTTGATATGCAATGACTGCACCATCAAGTGGCCCATGCGACACCAAGCCAAAGCCTGTTACGCGCGGAACCTAGCAGAACGCAGCCCTCCTCCCGCCCAACCGACCGAGGGGCGCTGCCGCATGACGCGCGGCGCGATTAACCGAACCGGTCGCGAGCATGCAGGAAAGATAGATGTTAGGCTAATATTCGAGGAAAATTAGATCTAATCATAACTAGACTAAGCTAAGCAAGCAGAAATTACCAAAATCAGAGACAAGACAAAACTAAAATGAAACTAACTACGGGAGAGGTAGGCTAGTACAAGAGATTTAAGAAGAGGAAGGGAGTTAGTTGAGGATATAATGTGGTAGAGGGAATTATAATCCGAGCATAAAACCCTAAAGGGTTCGTGTGAGGCATAATTCGATCTACATAGTGGAAGGAACAAAGGAATAAAGTTTCTAGTGGGTCTAATGGGAATCGTAAAGTTTATGCGGCTCAGCAAGTCAGGGCTGTCTATATCCCCCTTGATCAAGTTGTGCATAAAAATTACACCAAGCTTTTTTCTACGACTAACTAAGGATGGAAGATTTATTAAGAGAAGTCTACTACGGTAGGATGGCAGTCTCACAGTTGCATCCCAGTTGAGGCCCCGTAGGGCAAATAATAAAAAGTTTTTCTGTACTGATTCAATACGGTCCTGATGTATGTTGTACTGAGGGCACCATACACATGAGCCGTATTCTAAAATCGGACGAACAAGCGAGATATAGAGAGTCTTCGTTATATAGGGGTCCTCAAATTCCTTTGACCACCTCTTTATAAACCCAAGCACACCCATGGCTTTATTTACCATGGTAGAAATGTGTTCAGAAAACTTTAACTTTGGGTCTAGTTTAACACCTAGATCATCAACCAATGTAATTCTCTCAAGAGAACTACCGCAGAGGGTGTAAGGAGCCAGGAAGGGGCTGGAGCGACAAAAAGTCATAACATTGCACTTCGAGGCATTAAGTTGTAACATATTTGCACAGCACCATGACTGAAAGCTATTGAGATCAGATTGCAAACGAGAGTGAAATGAAATGTCCTTATACTGGACACAGAGCTTAACATCATCCGCATACATAAGTACTCGAGAATTTGTTAATACAGAAGGCAGGTCATTAATAAAGAGTGTGAAAAGTAAGGGGCCTAAATGGCTACCCTGTGGTACTCCAGAAGTAACCATAACAGGTAAAGATACGGAGTTTTTGAAAAGGACCCTTTGAGACCTATAACACAGGTAGCTAGAAATCCATCTCAACAGATTGGGCGGAAACCCTAGAAGGTTGAGCTTTTGTGCAAGAAGAGAATGGTTTACGGAATCGAATGCCTTACTGAAGTCAGTGTAAATAACATCCGTCTGCAAGTTACTTTGGAAGCCTTTAATTACAAA